TTTATTGACGCTCAAATAAGCACGTGACCTTGTGTGAAAACTGAGCTTCCTTTGCCTTCCCATGGAGGCTCTGCCTCCCCATGCCCATCAATGCGGTGTACACGTGGGTGAATGGCACACACGTGGCTCTGCTCAAGGAGTTGGGAGGCCATAAGAGAGTAACTGGCAGATGAGCAGAGAGCTCTGAGGTAGTCCAACAGAGACGGAATCTCAGTCTTGCTTGAAATATGAAAGTCTAACTGTCATTATTGTATGTACCATCATAGTCGTGTGTTGGATGTGTGGCCTCTTGACCGACATTGAGGTCTGCTTGTGAGTCAAGGTAGCACTGTATATTTTTTTTATATTTATCCACATCGAGAACATCTGGGGAAAAATGCAAGTGAGACAACAGAAGAACCGAAAGTTAGGTAATACTGAATGTCCCTTTTACTTTTGCAAAAGTCCTCCTTTCCTGACCGGTGTCGCGCGCACCTTTCCAGGGCCAAAGCGGAATGTTTGCTGTCTCATTGCATCGTTGCGCCCATGCTGGCGCTGGAACCCCCCCTACCAGCCAACGCCACGCTCCAGGATTTGCCGCCACTCTCACCTGCGTTGGCAGCCGCCGAGGAGCTGCTCCAACTCTGCAAACCCGTCCACCCGTCCACCGCCGCCTCCGTGCTGATCTTAAATTCCCAGGTTGACAGTGGGTCCGAAACGTAGTGAAACGAAGTGAGGTTTACTATACTGGGTGATGATGAGAAAATTAAACTGTTATGTATTTTTTTTTCCATGCTTTTTTTTAGCTGAGAAAGCCTACACAGACGCGTTTAAGGAAGACAAGAAATTGTCAGTGTCCAGATGTTACTTTGTGAGTTTTATATTAATTTCCTGACATGACCTTTTTAAGGAAACTGTGCTTCCATCATCGAATCCCACTTTCCACAGACCACAGAAAGAGAGGCTCCGGGTCTGATCCGCATGCAGACGCTGGCCTACCTCAGTGGCTTCCCGGGGTCCTTCAAGGAGACGGAGCAGCTCAGAGCAAAGCTGCCATCTTTTGTCACCAACAAGATGAAACAGGTGAACGCAAATCAGACCAGTCACAGTCGAGACTCTATGTTAGCCATTTGGGTCCACTTCACTGACTTAAGGTAGTAAAATAATCGAACAAGGGCGGAGGATGAAGTACCCTTAAAAAATAAATTGAAAAAAGTGACTGTTAAGACGAAAATAAGCAGCAGGTGGCGGTGTTGCACCCCTCTAACCCAAATGAGCCCGTTTGCAATAGCTTTTCCTGCCACAAGATGTCGCTGCCTAAAGATGAGCTTCATATTGACCTTTGAAGAGCAGTGGTTAATGGAAGCTTGTTTTTGCATGTGTTTGTGTGTGTAAAGTGAATTTTGAGGAAGGGCCATTCCCAACATCCTTGAAATAAATGAGGCGTTACCATGAGCAAGTTCTAAGGAGCTATAAGATCAGTGCAGGTTACTGGGGGGAAAAAAAATCAAAACAAACCATAACATGTTCGGCAGCCATTTTGTACTCGTCCAGCCGATAGGATGGCTTATGCCAGGCGTGCCCATTACGCCGATCCTGATCTATCGGTAGATCTAAGACAGGTCCCAAGTAGATCCGAGGAGTCTCGAGGGGGAAAAAAACAACCAACCATTTGTGTGTCTTTGTACACATTAGTAATATATTTTTTGTGTTCATGTACATTCATTCATTCATTCATTCATTTTCCGAACCGCTTGATCCTCACTAGGGTCGCGGGGGGTGCTGGAGCCTATCCCAGCCGTCTACGGGCAGTAGGCGGGGGACACCCTGAATTGGTTGCCAGCCAATCGCAGGGCACACAGAGACGAACAACCATCCACGCTCACATTCACACCTAGGGACAATTTTAGAGTGTTCAATCAGCCTACCATGCATGTTTTTGGAATGTGGGAGGAAACCGGAGTACCCGGAGAAAACCCACTGTTCATGTACACTGCACCCTAATTATCCTATCAGCCTCATTTTCACAAAAAAAAAAAAAAAAAATTAAAAAAATAAAATAAAGCAGGTAAATCTTGAATTTACGGTGGCGCGATTACGTCACCGGAAGTTGTTAGCGCTCAGCAGATTGCAATCGCAGCTTGTGATCAGAGCTGTTGCGCTCTATCTTTTATCGTAATTATTCTCATTCAGAGTTTGTTTCGTGTACAATTCACCAAGGGCACGGGCAAAGAATAGGAATCTAGGAAGGCCCAGGGAAGCACTTTAATAAAACGGTACGTGTGAGCTACGATCGTTAACAGGCTGCAAAAGTGCATCACATGCATCAGTTTCAGGCTGTTTCTCATCATGGCGTGCGTGCGTGCGTGCGTGCGTGTGTGTGTAAAAGTGTGAAAAGTAGATCTTCGGTCCAAAAAGTTTGGGCACCCCTGGCTTATGCAATTGATATTGCGTGCATGGACTCTCAAAAACTAGCTGAAGAATCCGCACGATGTTTGTATGAAATCATTATGCTTTTCGTTTGTGTTTTGTGGCTTGGGGTGGGGGGTGGGGGGGATTGGTGATTGTGGACAGTGCGGTGTCCTGGTGCCAAGCCCATCCTGTGAAAGCGTGCTGCTGGTGAATACAGGAGGGTGGAGAAAACATCAGAAAACCTTTTTTATCAGGGGTCGGGAACCTTTTTGACTAAGAGAGCCATAAAAGCAAAGTATTTGGAAATGTATTGCAGTGAGAGCCATAT